AAAATAGCGTAATGCCTCAGTTGATGGTCGACTTCTAAAATAAAATGCTCTTTATTCTAAATGCCACAACATCAACTTTTATCATATGATTTTTGAGTTATTGGTGATCTCAGTCAAGTTTGAAATTGACAATATTTTGTTTTAAACCAAATTGGATTGGTAACAGCAATTATGCATTCAGACCAAATAGAGGAAGATCATCAGGCAGTAATTGGAGAGGTAGAGGTTATGACAGATCTGAAAAACATACGAAGAATCATTTAAGGGCAAAACATTGAGCTGTCATGCTTGTGGATCTTACAAACACTTATGAAAAGGTTGCCCCCACAGCTATGAAAATATAAATGCACTTGGTGATTCTTAAGATACATTTATGTGTAACAATGAAGTTTTATTAACGATGAAAGTTTTATTGAAAATGTAATAATGTATACTGGTTATGATAAACAGGAAGTGAGTCGTTAAGGTAAAGAATCACAGCATAGTAGATACACCTTCTTCAAGTACTGATAAGCAGCAAGCACTGGTATGAAACTTTTCTAAGCACATTCCCTGAAACCAGACAGAGGGAAATTAAAGAGTTCACAGGAACCAAATGGTTTAAATTTGAAAGTGGTGAATGCTTGCAGTCTTTGAAATGTGTACATGTGTTATTGCTGGTCAGCAGTTTGTGTTGGAAAGTGATGTTGTTGATTCCAATATTCCTTTATTATTGAGTTTAAAAACTTTTAAAACTGCCAATGTTAAATTGGATCTTGAGCATGATGAAGCTGAGATCTTTGGGAAGAAATGTGCATTAGACTTTAAATCCACTGGTCAGTATTGTATTCCAATCGCAAGTGACACACCTATAAGGAAGTTTTTCATGTCAACCTTCAACAATTATCTTCATCAAATAGACTTAAGGCTTTGGAAAAACTTCATTGTCAGTTTGCCCATCCTTCAAAGGTTCGTTTGGAGTGCTTACTTACAGATTCTGGCGTTTCGGATAAAACTTATTCTGCTGATTTGGAACGACTGTATAAAGAATGTCAGACATGTAAACTTTTTGCTAAAACTCCAGCTCGACTCGTCATTAGTATGCCTAAATTTTTTAAAGGTGGCAAGTATATCCTTCACATGGTGGATATGTTTTCAAGATTAACTGTATCTGTCTTTGTTCAAAGTAAACAACCTAAAGAAATTGTGTTGATTCTTCGCTGAAACATTGGGTAGCTGTACTGGGTGTTGTGGAAGGTGTTTTATTAGACAATGGTAGTGAATTTAGTAATCATCTCATTCGAGAAGTAGCCAGCTTTCCTCAAGAAAAGCTTTTATGCAAAGCAAAGATGATGAAAAATAAGACATCAGATTTGAGCAGTAGAAGAACATTTCCAACCAGGTGAAACAGTTTTTTATAATAAGTGGTTAGGTTCTATTAAGTTATATTTCAAGATGGCAGACTAGTATTTGTTCGACATGGAGGCGTCTATGTTAGAGTTTCAACTAATCATATTATCAAAGATTTCCCAAAATCTAGTTCAAACTCTGGTGTTGCACATAATAATAAAGTTCAATCCCGGCATAGGTCGAGATAATACCTTCGGTTTTTTCAACCCGGTTTCCCCTTGTCAGTGATACAGGTAAGTGGGGCCAACATGGAAAAAGCGTCTTGTTGTTCGGATGGGACAATAAACCGAGGCCCCATGTGCTACAGACTGTGCACGTTAAAGATCCCTCGACACTTGGAAATCGAAAAAGAGCAGGCTAATGCCACTGTCTTGGCAAAATTTCCCTCATCGCACCCTGCATGGCGTTGCCCGTCTTCAATACCCCACATGGTGTAGAAAAGTAGGACGTAAAACTCCATTTCATTTCATTTCAAATGGGCAGCGACCAAAGTGATTTAGATGACATCCGTTTGAAATAGAATGATAACATTCAGTTTAGAGTGTCAGACAATGATGATTGGGAGACAGCTACAGTTCTCAGCAAAGCTGGAAGATCAACAGGTTCATACTGGTATTGGTATAATGGACAATGGGCAAATTCACAGCCTTGATATTGAAAGTATACAGTGGAAAAAATTTGTAGACAAGAGTTTGGCTTTTTTTTTTATGCCAACTACTGAACATGGTAATCCAGACTGTGTTCACACTAAGCTTGACGAATTAAAGAAATTGAAACTTATGATATTGTGGATGACAATGGCCAAGATAAAATTTCAACAAGATGGGTTTTGACTAAAAAAAGGTGATCAAGTTAAGGCTCGATTAGTAGCTCGTGGATTTCAGGAAGAACAATATATGCAAAGTGAGTCTCCTACTATGGGCAAAAGTACTATGCTAACTTTTCTTGCCATTACTGCTAGTCAATAGTGGCCAGTTAAAACTACTGATATAAAATCAGCCTTCTTTCAGGGTAAGAAACTAGATAGGGATGTGTATCTCTTCCTATCGAGGCAGATATTGCTAAAGGTAAACTATGGCGATTAAACCACTGTCTTTCTGATTAAATGATGCTGCCCGACAATTCTATCAGAATGTGAAGGAAGAATTCATTAGGTTGGGTAGTAAACAATGCACCTCTGATTCTTAAAGATAGTAATGATTCTCTTATTGGTTTATTAGCATGTCATATTGATGATTTTTTACGTGTCTTTGATGCATCAGTAATCAGGGTTCGCACAGCCTTGAAAAACTCTTGAATTCCGTCCATTGCCTTGAAAAACCTTGATTTAAAAAAAAGTCTTTGAAAACACCATAAAAAACTCATTTTCTCTTGAAAAGTCCTTGAATTTTGAGTTGAGTCAAATTGTGTGTATATTTATCATTAACCCCATTGACAAATATTAACTATCTTTATTGATTTCACAGTTAGGTACATGTGTATTCTGTCAGACTAATATCCTTGAATTTCAAAGCCCAGAGTCCTTGAAAGGTCTTTGAATTTTTGAGGCAAAGTGCTGTATGAACCCTGGTAATGACTTGTTTACGTTAACGCTTCCTTGCTGGAAAATTAGAAGATACTAAATTAGAAGATACTAGTTTTACATTCATAGGTTTCAACTTAATTCAATCTTTAGATGTGATAACTCTAGATCAATCTTCTGGTAACTTTCAAAATTAGTGCTTGGTCATATTCTCTGATGCATCTCTTGGAAACATCTGTAATGGTGTAGTTTGATTTTATTGGTGTCACCTAACAACAGGTGCCCGCCTTTTAAACTGGCAATCCAATTTTTTCTCCAAGACTTTTTAACATTCCAGTATTGACATTGACAATAAGAGTGTTGTTGAAGCCATGTGTTCAACTAAGATGGTGGATGATAAACATTTACGGTTAGATATATAATAAGTGCTATAAAAGAATCCTTCTCCTTAAAACAAATCACATCTGTCATTGCAATTAGCTAATTGCATGACTAAAAAAGGGGCCTCAGGACATGACTTGTTAAATGTCTTTCACACTGGAAAAATAAGTAATATTCCTTAGCTATTAAATGTTTTGTTTAAAGAAAAAAAAAAAAAAAGATGTGAAATGGAAGTTTTTGTATGTGCAGTAAATTAGTTGTTGAATGTGAAGTGATAGTGGGTGTTATTTAAATTATCCTTTGTATAGGCATCATTACTTACCTTTGAGTATTCCTTTATTTTCTGTAACTCTAGACTGTTTCTTACAAAACTCAGTTTCTAGTATTTTAATTAGTTTATTAAATTACTTACAATTTATACTACGGTACCTTATATTTTTGCACATTTAATAATTGATCATTTGTACTTCTGTATCTATCTATTTTCAATATTCTTTTCTGAATAATACTTACCTAAAGAGAAAAGTAAAAGACAGTATAAATAATGATAAACTATTAACATTCATTCGCTTTCTGATACTTGCCACTATTCCTTATTTTGTAAACCTGGACATACCAACATGCGCATTCTTATGTTATTTTAATATGGCCCTCGATTGGAGTCTGAATAAATATGTGAACTATAAAGTGTTTTTAGATGAATTTAACACTGCTTACTCAACATGATGGTGTTGTAAACATGAATCAAAATATGGAAATAATTATGAAAATGCAGAAGTAGCACAACAACTTCACCTAATTCTGGAAACAATTGCTGTATCTTATCAACACAATAAAGAGGAAGAGATTTTTTAAGCTCCGAGTGACAGAAATAACTGTATCTTAATAATAATCATATTGTGTATGAAATAAATTTTGTTTTTTTTGTTTTTTAGTAATAATTGCCTTTTACGGTGGCTCACATACAACATTAACCACTTTTTATTTTAATTAAAGCTTTTTTTTTACATGATGAAAATTGATTTTGAATTAAAAACTTTAATTTTCACCTAGGTCATAATAATTTTCACCTAGTTGAAAATTAGGTGATAATTTCTGTAATTTTGAATTAAAAACTTTTTTTACAAGATTTGTTGAATTATCACCTAGGTGAAAATTATTATGACCTAGGTGAAAATTATTATGACCTGGGTGAAAATTATTATCACCTGGGTGAATATCAAAGGATTTTATTTCAAAATTAATATTTTTAATTCAAAATTAAAAGTGAAATAGGTCGTATGTAAGCCACCGTAGCCTTTGACTTAAATAAAGGACGTCAAATTTGATCTATAGAAATCATAGATTTATTAATTTTTAAAGAAATTAGAATGAAATTTGAAATGAAGTAAATGTCTATTGTGATGAATTCAAAGTTTTTGACCTACAAAAATAACAAATGCATTATAAAGGTCATCTTCAATATGAGAAAATTCATACTTTATTCACTAAATACTATGTTATCATTTCTACCAGCTGCCAGTGGGCATATGTTACCTTGTAAGGATTGAATTATCAACTTTATAAGAGGCCTACTACTGAGAATCTAAGATTTTCTCCAGGTTTATATGAACATTTTGAAACATAATTACCAGTATATTTTCTGTTTATATTGTTTTTTTTTTCTACTTTTTTGGTTCTTAATGATATATTTTCATTTTAGCATTTTTTGAAACCAGAGTTATGGCAGAGATATCCTTTGGTAGAAGAACTTATTTTACAATTTTTGGCTCCTGGTTTATGGGAAAAACATAAAAGTGATATAGCTAGAAAGGTATGGAGGAAATTTGATAATAATAATTCTAATAAACTCTTTATTTTACATGCAGTAATAGGTGTTGGATATAATAAGACTCCAATACATATACAGACAACGAAGCGCCAAAGCAAGGAACACATTAGCTAATTCACCATGCTCCTACCGCCCACCAACTAAACTGAAGCGCCCCACCATCCACCACTTTCATCACCAATCCCAGCGAGTTACAAATGCCAGCCTCCACCACACATTTATCCACCACTATCATCCTATGCCCCACAACCACCCTCATGTGAACACTGCAAAATCAAGGAAAAGAGAAGTACATCCATAACAATGCTCTTACCTATCTAACATTATAGAAAATACAATTAGTATAAACAATCAAATAGGAAAATTATCATAGCTGGGCTGTAGGCTTACTCTTACATCAGGAATTTTCTTCAGATTTTGGTTGGTGGTAGGGTTGAGAGTCCCAATCAAAAATTTACCCATGATGAATGTAACTATTTATTCAATTATTTTGTTGACAATTGATTGAATTTCTTTCAAAGGGTATAAGGGGAGGATACTCTAGGTGGCTTCAGGAATTAAGACCACAACAATTATCTCAACTTAACATTAGAGGAAGTTGCTCTAGCTAGACACAAGGCCACAACAACTCTATGTTATCTTCTATATGTTCAAATTCTCAATTGAATCAGTCTCCATCAGATAATGAATTATATAATTACGTAATAATCCACAAGTTAATATATAATTAAATAAATAATTTGTTCGAATTTTGAAGAGGGGGCGAATGAAATTCCAGGAAACACTGCCTACAACAACCTTACTATGAATCTTAGAAAATTTATCAAACACTAAAGACCAATTTTTGATAGTGATGACTATTTAAAAAATGTCTTCTCCAACATCCAAATGGTGACTTTTCGACAACCTAAAAATTTAAAGAGTACTCTCGTTTCTAGTAGATTTTCTAAGTAGAGGATGAAACCGGAACACTTCCTTGTAAAAGTAATCATAGCCATTTATGAAAAGTAAACAATTATTCAAAAACACTAACAGATGCAAATGGTTATTCTTCAATGTGAAGCAAAGTTTTACATGTAGTTCATCAACAAATTATAGTAGGCCTATATCTTGTAAATGATGCCCAGATCAAATTTATGTAGGTGAAACACAACAAACTTTCTAAGGCCCAATGAACGCTCATCAAAGTGATATCCAGATAAACAAAAACAATGAAGATGATATTTACATGTTTACAATCTTGTTAGAACTTGGTGGTTAAACAAAAACAATCAAGATGATATTTACATGTTTACAATCTTGTTAGAACTTGGTGGTTAAACAAAAACAATCAAGATGATATTTACATGTTTACAATCTTGTTAGAACTTGGTGGTTAAACAAAAACAATCAAGATGATATTTACATGTTTACAATCTTGTTAGAACTTGGTGGTTAAACAAAAACAATCAAGATGATATTTACATGTTTACAATCTTGTTAGAACTTGGTGGTTAAACAAAAACAATCAAGATGATATTTACATGTTTACAATCTTGTTAGAACTTGGTGGTTAAACAAAAACAATCAAGATGATATTTACATGTTTACAATCTTGTTAGAACTTGGTGGTTAAACAAAAACAATCAAGATGATATTTACATGTTTACAATCTTGTTAGAACTTGGTGGTTAAACAAAAACAATCAAGATGATATTTACATGTTTACAATCTTGTTAGAACTTGGTGGTTAAACAAAAACAATCAAGATGATATTTACATGTTTACAATCTTGTTAGAACTTGGTGGTTAAACAAAAACAATCAAGATGATATTTACATGTTTACAATCTTGTTAGAACTTGGTGGTTAAACAAAAACAATGAAGATGATATTTACATGTTTACAATCTTGTTACAACTTGGTGGTTAAACAAAAACAATCAAGATGATATTTACATGTTTACAATCTTGTTACAACTTGGTGTCCATAGGTTTTGATTGATTTTGTAATGATTATGAATTCTAATTTGTCTGGGTTATTCCAGAATACTTTAATATATATTTTCAGTTTCATCATCTGAAAAGAAATGCCCTATTTTAAAGATAGTGCTCTGCTAGTGGCGGTATAATAACATGTAAAACAATACAATGCCAAAAAAAATATGAAACATATATAACTAACTGAAAGCTTATTTTATCAAAAAACACACAAGTCTTTAAGATACGGTACTTTGCCTATGCATTATCCATTTCTGTTGTCATTTGTCTGATGTTTTCTTTTATTAGATGGATACTTTTGTAAATCCGTTAAGAAGTTCAGTAAAAACTATGAGCACAGCTGTTAAAAGTGTTCCAGATGGTATAACTGATGGATTTGGAAAAATGTCTAGAGTGGTAAATAAAATTAAATATTTATGAAAAATATTTCTATATCATATTTAAATCTATATAGTGGTTGCCATGGTAATAGAAGGTGTAATATGGCCTGTTTTGTGTTGACTTACCTTAATCTATTTCATATTATATTATTTTCCAGAGTAATAAAGATTTGCCTATTAGTCCTTATATAGATAGAGGGAAAGTTGGTAAAGATCTCAATCCTGATGTAAGTTATGTAAATGTTTCTTAGATTTGTTATATAATATGTTGGGAATAGGGCGACAGAGCTGTGTTTATTTTGCAGTATGTTTCATTCTAGTGTTGTCTGGTTCTGTACTTAATGATGCCTGTAACTTGTCCAACTTGTCCAGTCTTGTGTAAACTGATCTTGGTCTTTGACACATGAAGATGTGTTGTCTTTAACTCAAAAAGTAAAGAGAATAAAGATTTGTAATTCATATGATTTCAATTTTGATATAAGGATGAAGAAAATATTCCAGTACGAATTATGTTATTGTTGATGGATGAGGTATTTGATCTACGTCATAAAAACCAATCTCTACGAAGAATGATAGTTGCTATATTACGTCAACTTATCAGTGCTACATATGGTGATACTATAAACAGGTATATATATACATTATGTTTTATTTTTCTGAAAGGAAACAGAAGGTTTTCAGTGTGTCAATTCTCACCTTTTAAATCATAAATGTCTTGAAAAAGGATGTGAATTATCAGGGTATGTCTTACATTTATCAGATAAAAAACTATAGTTATAGTTAATAATAAATTTTTACAAGCCCACATGTTTAAATACATGGAAATATTGTTGTCACCAGTCTTTTAACATTTGATGTGAGCACAATTCAGACTACACTTTTCATCTGATTTAAATGGAATTTGATGTGTGATTTTTTGTATTCAAAATTAACAATTTTTCGAGGTTTTGGATTTTTTGCCCTTGACTTAGTTAAAAAGTGACATAGTAATGGCTTTATATTTCACCAGAAATGATACAGTCTGTAGTAGTTTAATATGTGAAACCAATCATCCAATTTGTTACTAATTTCAAGCTTTACTGAGATCTCATACCAAGTTTCATCAAGATCGTATAAAAAATACAAGCCAAAATAGACACATTGAATTAAGTCAAGGGCAATAACTCCAAAACAGTTCACCCAATAATGATAAAATTTGAAAGAAATCGCATCAATATATACATGCATAGTAAGTTTCATCAATATTGGATAAAAACTGTAGTCTATAGAGTGCCTACAAGCCAAATTTGATATGTTTTTACTAAATCAAGGGCAATAACCCAGAAATCGTTCATCCAATTATTACCAATTTAGTACTTAACCGAAATCTCATGAATATATACATGCAAACTAAGTTTGATCAAGATGGGATAAAAATGTAGCCTTTGTCGTGCATACAAGGCAAATTCAACGCATTTTTTCTAAGTCAGGGGCAATAACTCTGAAACTGTTCATCCAATTATTACTAATTTAAAACTTGACTGAGGTCTTATCAATATATACAAGCATACTAAGTTTCATCAAGATCAGATATAAAAATTTTAGCCTTTATCATGCATACAAGCCAAATTTAATGCGTTTTTAATAATTCAAGGGCAATAACTCTGAAACCTTTCATCTGATTATTACCAATTTCGAAGTTGACATCTTCGAGGCGAAGGCAATATTCGTCCACTTTTCCATGTAGGCATTTAAACACTGTTCATCAAAAAATCGTCAAATCAATTCCAATGCTCACACCAAGTGTCATCAAAATCCATTGAAAATTGTAGCTTTTATTGTGCTCATAATTAAATTTTTACGTGATTTTGATAAGTCAAGGGCAATAACTCAAAAACCGTTCATCATTTTAGTTGATTCAAATAATGTGGATACTCTATAGCACAACACATAGGAAAACATTCACAAAATAGTCTGCCATGGAAAAAATTTATTACCTTAGTCCTAAAGTCCAACATGTTTCAAGAGCACAAAGGCTCCCTTCCTCAAGTTTATTCCTTTGTTGTTAGATAATTTTTTACCCTTTTTCCACAAAGAATTTGACAAGTTTTTACAAAGTCAAGGGCAATAATTCCGAAACCCGCTCATTACCAATTTCGAACTTGACTGAGATCTCATCAATATATACATGTATACTAAGTTTCATCAAGATCGGTGTTGTATCGTAAGGACGGCCAAGCGTAGCATAAACAGGACAGTAAGAATCGAATATAAACAAATCAAATTCAGACATCATGGCAGTTACATACATGTGTGTACTACTTTCTTGTATTCATACGCATCATAGAAAAACATAGTCCATAAAGGATAAGCAACTCCAATTAAGTATACGAGTGAGATTAATAAGCAATATAACATATTCCCCTCCGGAAGATTGATGCTCAATCTTTAAGGAAAATAACGAAATACAATTCGGTAGCAATTGCAAGAGAAATAACTTTAACTGAAGTGCATAACCTTTGCAAAGTTAACATTGAAATCAATAGCATGCAAATTGTAAACATAAATAGTAAACGAAGTCTTTATCCTTGGTATGTGTTGACATTCGAATAATAGCACTATTAGATTCACAATTTGAACAAGTATTATTATGACTAGTACTACTTTTACTTGGCACATTACACAAAGATAAATGCTTAGAATTCCAAATTTTCCCATCACTCAACTTATATGTATTATCACTAACTTTGAGTGGCTGTGTATATCCAGGATTTCCTTTTAGAGGTTTTATAGGTTTACGGATACGTACGTAGTCACCCGAAGCAATTTTCGAACTCTTCCAAGCACGATGAGAAGCAGAATATGTTTTCATAGCACTTTGCTTATGTTTAACACGTTCACGTACGGTTTTATCACTTGAATCTCATAAATTAGCAGGTTGAAGAACATGTAATAAGGTTTTCATTTCACGACCATGCATTAGATCTGATGGAGCAATACCAGTAGTAGCATGGGGCGTAGCCCATCTGGAAAGTCGCAAACTTGAACAACCAAGACCTTTCGAAGCAAAGATAGTCTTTAAAGGCTGGTGGTCAGTGCGTAAAACAAACTTACGACCCCATAAGAATAAACGCCACTTTTCTATTCCCCAAACACAAGCTAGGGCTTCTTTTTTCAATCGAATAACGTCGTTCACAATCACTTAGAGTGCGAGATGCGAAAGCAACAGTACGTTCACCAAACTCCGGATGAAGTTGAGTAAGAACTGCTCCTAAACCGTAATTCGAAGCATCAGTAGAGATGTAAGTAGGCAATGTAGAGTCATACGAAGCAAGGATTGGACTGGCAGCAATAAGTCCTTTAAGTTTTGTAAAACTCTTTTCAGCTGAATTATCCCACAGGAATTTTGTAGAATTCCTGGTTAACCGACGTAAGGGTTCTGTTATTGTACTGAAATTAGGAACAAACCTAGAGTAGTAAGTAGCTGTACCAGTAAAAGAGCGAACAGCTGTAGCATCAGTCGGTGTTGGTGCAGAAATAATGTCTGTTACCAGTTCTGATCTAGGTGATATTCCAGAAGCTGAAATAGTATGTCCTGAAAAGTTTATACTGGATTGTCGCAATTTACACTTATTCAAATTTAATTGTAACTTATGTTGATTTATTGTATGGAGTACAGCACTCAATCGTTGATCATGTTCCTACATATTACCACCGAAAATAGCAATATCGTCCAGAATACATTTTACACCTGGCAAGTCACCTAATATTGTTGACATCATCCTTTGGAAAAAAGCAGGTGCAGAGGCAAGTCCGAAAGGAATACGACAAAAACGATACATTCCTTTGTGTTATGAAGCAGGTAAGACTGGACTCATGAAGTGGGATCTGATGATAGGCCTCTTGCAAGTCAATAACACTGAAAACAGTAGCATCCTTAAAGTCAGATAAAAGTTCATCAATATGAGGTAGTGGATGTTGGTCTACAACAATCGCTTTATTTGGTTCTCTGCAATCGAAACACAAATGAATGCCGGTTTTCTTTTTTACGACTAAAATATCAGAAACCCAGGGTGAAGCATCACATTTTTCAATAACACCCAATTTTTCCAAGCGTTCCAGTTCAGATTTAACACTATCACGTACAGCTAGTGATAAACGGCGCAACTTTTGTAGCACTGGTTTAGCATTAGTATCAACCATAACTTTATGTACAAATGAGTCCACTGCTGTATTGACAGAGTTTGAAGAAATCACAAGACCCAATTTCTTTATTACGTCCATACCAATAAGAGCGGTATCACCGTAGGTAATAAATACAGTCACATTTGCAGTCCTATTCTCAAAGTCAATAGCAGCTTGCATACATCCAACAACATCAATAGCATTTCCTTGATATGATGTTAAATTCATAACAGGTTTAGAAAGTAAGGCAGTAGAGAAATGCTGTTGGTAAATTTTATGAGGCAAAGTTGTAACTGCCGAACCTGTATCGAGCAACATTTTTACATCAGATGATTCTCCAGTAGGTGTAGAAATATGAAACATACGGTATAATTTAGTATTAGCAGCAGTAATGACCGTAAATATGAAAACAGGATCCGTAACTGAATCTTCCATCTGAATTTGACACTCATTTCTTACAGTGTGTACATTACTTTGATCACGAGTTTTTACAGTGTATTGTTTACATTGATCTGTTTCGCACATGCCTAATTCTTCACTAGAACTTGAACTGTCAATTGTATTCACCGAATCTTTTTCACGTGCAGACATACAAACTTTTGCAAAATGACCATGTTTACCGCATTTTGAAAAAATAACACCTTTTGCTGGGCAATCTGTAGAATTCGCGAGATGTTTTGGGGATCCACATCTGTAGCAAGTTTTCTCTTCAGATTTAGACGAATTCTGTGCACCGGATTTTTCCGATTTGTGATTACGTGAAAAATTAGTTTTAGACTTTGTATTCAAAGAATTAACATTTCCTGGAGGAGAATTAGTACACGTAGTACCAGTAAGCAGTTTCGATTCATGTATGCATTCATGTATTCATTGGCCATAATCCCAAAACTACATGTAGAGGCTAAACCATGCAAAGTAGTTACAAATTCATCTATAGTTTCGCCGGGTTGCTGGCTTCGTCTGCGAAATTTTGACCTTTCCGAAACCGTATTTAATTCTGGTTGAAAATATTCTCATGCCGCTTGAAAAGATTCTTGAAATGTGTCACCTGGACAGGGAAAATTGTAGAAAATTCTTTGGCCCTCAGTGCCTAAGCAATGAATCAATAAAGCTCTTCTCTTTCTATCTGGCATACTTTTTGCAGAAATCAGCTCTAAGTAATTCGTAAACATGCGCTCCCACACCCTCCATTCAATATTAGGTTTACCTGGTGATGGTTTGTAGGCTGGAGGTAGCGGTATACTTGGTTTATAATTGTAGAATGTATTACATGCAGCAGGCTCGTCACTGTATGCAGGTAACAATGTGAGAGTTTCTCGGAATAATGTAGGCATATCCGATTTAGGAGAATCCATTTTGCAGTATTAAACTTGTTTACCTCGTCACCAATTATGTTGTATCGTAAGGACGGCCAAGTGTAGCAGAACAGGAAGAATCGAATATAAACAAATAAACTTCAATCATCAAATTCAGACATCATGGCAATATTAGACATAACAAACATAGGAGCAACATTAAATTGAAAAAGGTTCATAAAGCTCCTCATATTGCCCCCCATTTTAACCAACCTGGTCATAATTATAAATGCACACTTCTTGAGAAAATTCCAAATGAAAGCAAAAGCAAATTAGACAGTGCAGAAACTCTGTGGATTCATAGACTTGACTCTGTATGGCCGTATGGATTGAATGAACTCAACCCAGGAGGTTTCAAAATTGCTAAATATTAGTGTATTCCCCCCCCCCCCCCCTTTTTTCCCTTCCTGTTTAGATTTTTGGCAAATCCTGAAGTCATCATTACATACTTAACATGTTGTATCTAAGATTGTGATGTCATAAACCTTATGAAGTCATATTGTAATTTTAATCTTAACTGCCTTCCACCATTTGTAGTTTGTTTCTTCCCCTGATGAAGTCAAAACTTTTTTGACGAAACGTTGGGTATTAAAGGATTGTATTTGATGTCAAGTTTTATTATTTATTACACATGAAATGGGGGGCGTATATTGCCGTCACCCATGTCCGTCCATCCGTCCACAATTGCTCGTAAACACTCTACAAGACACAATTCTTGACAGATTTTGACAAAACTTGGTATGAGTGTTCGCAATCACCCAAGGATGAACCTTATTGAAAATCAGAAGAATCGAAAAATATTTAGTATAAGTCATTGCCCTTGTTCTTAAAAACGTGTTCAATTTTTAGCTCGTAAACACTCTAGAAGGCACAATTCTTGATGTATTTTGACGAAACTTGGCAAGAGTGTTTGTTATCAACCAAGTATGAACCCTATTGGAAATCAGAAGAATCGAAAAAAATTTAGTATGAGTTATTGCCCTTGCTCTTGAAAATGCGTTAAATTATTAGCTCGTAATCACTCTAGAACGGATTTTGACGAAACTTGGCATGAGTGTTCATAATCACCCAAGTATGAACCCTATACTCGTATCAACACTAATGTCATTTTCAATATGGCGGTGCAGGTCAAAAGGTCATAGGGGAAAACTTCTGATGTTTTCATTATAAACAACATGGCCGGGATAAATGGAAAGGATGATGCGGAGTTCGAAACTTATTTTGATACTTTTTAACGTGATTTTTTATATGCTTTTCCTTTTAAACATTTGACATTTATTACTTTATTACATTATATTACTTTTATAATGGGCTACTGGCCAAAACAATTTCTTTACATAGTGGTTTTACTTGGAAAGTGAGTGCAATGTGCGACTACACAATGAGTTGTTAAAAAAGAGAGGAAAAGGACGACACAAAAAGTGAATAAGCGGCTCTTTGCTATATTGCGTCTGTTTTAAAAATTTAAGTGGTTCAATCTCCCAATGAAAAAAAATTATTGTGAAAATTTATATCTGCCAACAATTGAGGCCAAGCTTTATCAGATCCACTATTGTCAGAACCATGCGGCATGAACATGAATGCATGACCACTGGCAATAACAAGTGAGGCTCATGAAAAATTAACCTTTTAATGAAACTGACATTATCAAGTAAATGAGTTAAAACAATTGTCAATGTGAAAGAGATACCCCAATAATATTGACAATATTACAAAATTGGCTAGGCATTATGTAAATTTCCAAAATGCATTCTTGTGCAGATGTAAGCAGATATGATTTATGTTAGTCAATAGTGTGCATATCAGCTTCTATGCCTGTTCCTTCAATAAAATTACTTCACTAAACATGTATTTGATTTAAATTCTGTATTATAAGGTCATTATCTTTTGTTTTTTTATAATGCCTCTGAAATGAGGGGGTTGTGGGGCATACATTTTGTAGCTTGTCTTGGTGTGTTCATTATCAGATTTACAATATTGATGTCCACTTTTTCAAAGCAACAGAATGTAGGTTTTCTTTTCACATTTATGTACTTCACATGGTTCTTCTGTGTACAAACCGAACATGATTTAACTAAACTGTTCCTTCAAATTGTGCCCAAACTTTGCTGTTTCCCACAAATTACAATAAAACTTTGATCAAAGTTTATATGGTTAGATTTTCTTGCAGTTATCAGTATTATCACAGAAACTTGTTGGATATCCTCCAGTCCCTTTTTTTATTTGTTTAATATTCATTCATTTTTATACTGGTAGGCCTACCTTAAAGTATTAACTATATTAGTATGATATCCCTAGTAAAAAAGAATTATGTAACAAATAAGCATCATATAAACATAGAAAATTGATCATTTCAATTAAGATCAATGAAAAAACAAAATCAAGGAAAAATCTTTTGAAGGAGTGCCTGTGGAAGTTGAGCCCAGTTTCCCCCTGTCAGTAATATAGGCCTAGTAGGTCAATGAAGATGACATGGAAAGGGCGTTAAGACGTTCAGATGTGACAATAAACCGAGCTCCTGTGTACTACAGGTTGTGCATGATATTAAAGATCCTTAAAAATGGGAAATTGAAAAAAAAACTGTCCATGCAAAATTTTCCTCCTTGCACACTGTGAATCTTGTTAACATTTGGTATAAATTTACAAAAAAGTTATATTTTCATCAATGCAAGTAGATCCACCGTTATTAAGTTAAAGCTGTTAAAAAAATCTGCAAATTTCGATTTGTAGGCCTAGGGTAGGGTAGGCCCATCAACAAATTTGCAGAGAGTAGGCCAAAGCCGCAAAGGATCTCATGAACAAAAAAGAGTATGGCATTGTATCACTGAAAGCATAAAATGTCTTCATTAACGATTTATAATTACGTAATATGGGCGATTTAAAGCATTTTTATACGCACACATGAAATGGTCCGTCCGTCCGTCCATCCACAATTGCTCGTAAACACTCTACAAGACACAATTCTTGACAGATTTTGACAAAACTTGGTATGAGTGTTCGTAATCACCCAACGAAGAACCCTATTGAAAATCAGAAGAATCGAAATATATTAAGTATAAGTAATTGCCCTTGTTCTTGAAAACGCGTTCAATTTTTAGCTCGTAAACACTCTAGAAGGGACAATTCTTGATGGATTTTGACGAAACTTGGCATGAGTGTTTGTTATCACCCAAGGATAAACCCTATTGAAAATCAGAAGAGTCGAAAAATATTAAGTATAAGTTATTGCCCTTGTTCTTGAAAACGTGTTCAATTTTTAGCTCTTAAACACTAAAAAAGGAAGATTCTTGCCAGATTTTGACAAAATTTGGTTTCGTTATTCAGTACCGAGCTTAAATATTTCCCTTCTAGAGTTTTCACAAGCTAAAAATTGAACACGTTTTCAAGAACAAGGGCAATAACTCATACTCAATATTATTCAGTATCGCCCTAAAGAGTTCAAAAGAAGTGTATGACTGAAGGTTGAATATTTCATACTGGTAATTGTTACTGTACTGCTAAATATTTTTATTCAAAATCAAAGCTGCTAGTGGGCGTATATTACCTTGCCTGGCAAGCTATCTTCTTAGAAACTATACATTTATTGTGTAACATATTGTGTATATTTACATCCACATTATATTGTTCGAGATCTAATATGTAATCTAATATGAGATCTAATTGTTTGGATATAATCCTATGCACCAAATTTTGTTATAAAACTGCAGTCTCAATTGCCTTTGCAAGCAGAACAGACAAGATTGATGATAGACAGACATGGGTGCAGCATTATATATATCTACATTATAATGTTGGTTGATAAAATGTCTGCATTAAATTGTCAGTTATCTACAAAATTACCAAATATTTAAGCAGGTTTTGAAAATGAAATGAGGATATGATTATTGCTGAATTATCTTTTTGCAGGAAAATTGTTGACCATGTTGATTTAATGACGTCTGCAGCTCAGATGTCAGAATATATTAAAGCTTTCAGGTAAGACTTGATTTCCCTGATTTATTTATTTTTTTAAGTTGATGTATTATGTTCACAGACAGCAGATCATATGTAGGACCTGCTTTCCAAGATCAATATAGTGGTTCAAAATTTAGTTTGTCTTTAACAAACATTGTAAATGTAAACTTATACTGTTTTCTGACTCACTGATTACATAAAGAAAAGGTGAAAATCTACCACCCTAGTCCATGTCTTGTGATGATGCTGTAAAGCTGTGCTCCTGAAGACCTTGATGTTGAAAATGGGGAATAAAACTAACATCTTCTTCTCAATAAGTCTTTCACTCGCTGAGAATAAAAAATACACAAGATAATCAGTACTTGTAATTAAAGATAGCTTGCTAAAACTTGAACAGATTTTTCAGAACAAGGGCAATAAATCAAATATTTTTTGATTCTTGTGATTTTCAATAGGGTTCATCCTTGGTTGATAACAAACTCACACAAAATTTCATCAAAATCAGTCAAGAATTGTGCCTTCTAGAATGATTACGTGCTAAAATTTTCAAGAACAAGGGCAATAACTTATACTAATTATTTTTCGATTTTTCTGATTCTCAATGGGGTTCATCGTTGGGTGATTTCTATCACTCATACCAAGTTTCATCAAAATCCGTCAATAATTGCACCTTCTAGAGTGTTAACAAACTAAAATTGAACGCATTTTCAAGAACAAGGGAAATAACTCATACTAAGTATTTTTATACGCCTACATGAAAATGTCAACATTTCTTGTGAGCACCATAGAGAATACAGTTTTTATCTGATTTTGATAAAACTTGGTGTGATGCTTAAGATTGATAAGATCTCGGTCAAGTTCGAATTTGACATATTTTCGATGAACGGTTTTTATACGCCCACATGAATATGTGGTTGTATATTGTCGTCGCCTCGGTCCGTCAGTCCGTCAACATTTTTTGTGAGCACTATAGAGACTACAGTTTTTATCTGATTTTGATAAAACGTGGTGTGATGCTTTAGATTGATAAGATCTCGGACAAGTTCTAACTTGACACATTTTTGATGAACGGTTTTTTATACGCCCACATTAATATGTGGTCCTATATTGTCGTCGCCCCTGTCCGTCGGTCTGTCCGTCAACATTTCTTGTGAGCACTATAGAGACTACAGTTTTTATCTGATTTTGATAAAACTTGGTGTGATGCTTTAGATTGATAAGATCTCAGTCAAGTTCGAATCTGACATATTTTTGATGAACTGTTTTTGAGATATTGCCCTTGACTTAGAACGCCTTGAAATTTGTTAAAAATTGTTGGTGAGCAGGATTGAAGCTACAGTTTTCATCCGATTCTGATGAAACTTGATATCATAAGATCTCGGACAAGTTCTAACTTGACGCATTTTCGATGAACATTTTTTGAGTTATTGCCCTTGACTTTGTTAAAACTCGTCGAAATTTGTTAAAAATAGTTCGTGAGCAGGATTGAAGCTACAGTTTTCAACCGATTCTGATGAAACTTGGTGTGATCATTGGAATTGATAAGATCTCGGACAAGTTCTAACATGACGCATTTTCGATGAACGGTTTTTGAATTATTGCCCCTGACTTTGTTAAAACGCATCAAAATTTGTTAAAAATAGTTCGTGGGCAGGATTGAAGCTACAGTTTTCAACCGATTCTGATGAAACTTGGTGTGATCATTGGAATTGATAAGATCTCGGACAAGTTCTAACTTGACACATTTTTGATGAACGTTTTTTGAGTTATTGCCCTTGACTTTGTAAAAATACGTCAAAATTTGTTAAAAATAGTTTGTGAGCAGGATTGAAGCTACAGTTTTCAACCGATTCTGATGAAACCTGGTGTGATCATTGGAATTGATAAGATCTCGGACAAGTTTTAACTTGACACATTTTCGATGAACGGTTTTTGAGTTATTGCCCTTGACTTTGTAAAAACACGTCAAACTTTGTTAAAAATAGTTTGTGAGCAGGATTGAAGCTACAGTTTTCAACCGATTCTGATGAAACTTGGTGTGATCATTGGAATTGATAAGATCTCGGACAAGTTCTAACTTGTCACATTTTCGATGAACGGTTTTTGAGTTATTGCCCTTGACTTTGTAAAAACACGTCAAAATTTGTTAAAAATAGTTTGTGAGCAGGATTGAAGCTAAAGTTTTCAACCGATTCTGATGAAACCTGGTGTGATCATTGGAATTGATAAGATCTCGGACAAGTTCTGACTTGACACATTTTCGATGAACGGTTTTTGAGTTATTGCCCTTGACATTGTAAAAACACGTCAAACTTTGTTAAAAATAGGTTGTGAGCAGGATTGAAGCTACAGTTTTGAACAGATTCTGATGAAACTTGGTGTGATCATTGGAATTGATAAAATCTCGGACAAGTTCTAACTTGTCACATTTTCGATGAACGGTTTTTGAGTTATTGCCCTTGACTTTGTAAACACGCGTCACAAGTTGTTTTTTGCCCTTGATTAGAGCTGTGTGATTTAATTGTTTGTTGTATTTGGGTTATTGATATTGATTTTAAAAAATTTTGTGGAATTATTCAACATAAATAATTTCTTAAATATGAGAAAATTCGTACTTTAGTCACTAAAGACTGTTTTATTATTTCTGACAGCTGCCAGTGGGCGTATGTTATCTTGCATCGCAAGCTATCTTTTGATTTTTCTGATTTGTTATAGGTTCATCCTTGGGTGATTACAAACACTCACACAAAGTTATATCAAAATCCGTCAAGAATATCACCTTCTAGAGTGTTTACGAGCATTTCAAGAACAAGGGCAATTACTCATACTAAATATTTTTCTGATTCTCAAACAATCTTAACAATTTCCAAGAATATGAGTCAATAGTTCTTACTGTACTGTACTGTACGATGTGTTTACGTGCCCTTTTGGTGTTTGCTAGCGACCCTATTTTTGGTCATGACCCATGAATTGAAACCTTAAAACCAATGCGAACCTAGGACAAGGTTTGAAGCTTCAGTGAATAAATTGATTTCCATTGATGTTAAAATAACTTTTGGCAGGATAGTAAATAGCTTTACCATTTAAAAAAGAAATCTTTATGGTGGAATGGCTTTTTAAACCCATTGTTCAATCAAGTATACGTAGGAATGAGCGGCCGGATTTTTATATGTCCACATGAAATGTGGGGGCGTATTTGTCGTCACCCATGTCAGTCCGTCTGTCCATCCACAATTGATCGTAAATACTCTAGAAGGCGCAATTCTTGACGGATTTTGATGAAACTTGGCATGAGTGTTAAACCCTTTTTGAAATCAGAAAGATCGAAAGATAGAAAAATAATAAGTATGAGTTATTGCCCTTGTTCTTGAAAATGCGTTCAATTTGTAGCACGTAGACAGTCTAGATGGCACAATTCTTGATGGATTTCGACGAAACTTGGTATGAGTGTATGTAATCACTCAAGGATGAACCCTATTGAAAATCAGAAAAATCGAAAAATATTTGATACGAGTTATATTTTAGTTTTAGCCTGTAATCACTCTAGAAGACCCAATTCTTCACAGATTTTGATAAAACTTGGTAATATTATTCAGTATCGCCTTAAAAAAGAGTTCAAAAGAAGTGTAGGCTATGTCTGAAGGTTGAATATTTCATACTGGTAATTGTTACTGTACTGCCAAATATATTTATTTTATAACCAAAGCTGCCAGTGGGCGTATATTACCTTGCCTGGCAAGCTGTCTTTTATTGTTTTTTGTGTTTTTTTTATTATTTTTTATTTTATTAATTCTAATAATAATTTATGTTCATCCAGACTGTACAAACACAGACGTTTATGATTGGTTAAAACTCTTTGTTATATGAACATAATGATATGACTAGAGCCACACGTGGCACAGAGTGGGACTTTGCAAATGTAGCAAATTGCAAAAGACCCTGAAAAAATCAACCTTCGACGATAATTATTTCAAGTGAAAGAACAGTCTAAAGTTGAGAAATTTTTTTAAAAAAAATTCTAATACCAGAAGTAGACGACAGACCTCACAAATGAAAGTATCAGCAGATAGCCAAGGTCAATGACCTTTGATCTTGTAAAGGAGAAGGTCTAAAAAGAGATATACGTCATCAAAATTTCTAATTGCACACGACTATAAAACCGGAAGTTGACATAGGACAGCAAATATAAAAGTATAAATAGATAGCCAATGCCAATGACGTTTGATCCTACAAAGGTCAAGGTCAACAAAGGTCAAGGTCAAAAATTGAAAATTTTGAATTTCCAAAACCTGTTCCTTTTTTTGAACTATGAAGTGGAAACAACCGAACTTCTAAGACAAAGTGGCTCAAAACATGAGATAATTGTATGCAAAGTTCCATGTTGAACAAATGTATACTTTGCGAGTTATGCCCCTGGCCAAAAATGTCAATAATGAGTAATTTAACCCTGATGTGCTAGGCCCACCTCAATTTCTTTTGCATAGGTTAATTGATATTCTGAATGTTATGTTGTGTCCCAAATTTAAAGCTTCTACATCATACAGGTCAAAAGATATAGGTCAACAAGAGTCAATAAAGGTCAAAATAGAAAATTGAAAATATGGAAATTTCAAAACCTGTTCCTTTTTTGAAACTATAAAGCTGAAACAATTGACCTATTAACACAAACTGGCCAAAATAATGAGGTAATTGTGTGCAAAGTTCCTTTTTGAACAAATGTATCCTATGCGAGTTATGCCCCTTTCCCAAAATGTAAACAATTAGTAATTCAACCCGGATGTGCCACGCCCACCTCAACTTTTTTGTCATAGATTAATTCATATTCAAATTGTCTTGTTGTGTTCCAAGTTTCAATGTTCTACATAAAATAGGTCATAAGATATATACACACCAAGCTCAAAGAAACAGAAATATTGTAAAAAAAAACTCAAATTTGAAAAATTAACGAATTTCAATTTTGCTTTAAAAAACGATTGTTATAAATCATTTGAAAGAGCATGAAAAGCACATTAAGAATCCGA